AAACGGCGCGTCTACAAGCACTCCATACATTCATTATCAATCAATTCTATATTTAATGAATAACTAATTACTAAAGTAATACTTATAACTATAAATAACATATTTTATTTAAACTTAATAAAATATGACATACTGTTATTCAAAATGACTTCATTTAAATGTGAATATAGTATCTAATATTTTATTTATACAATTTTATAAGATAATAAAAAATACATATGTTATAATAAAATAAAAAATATAATCATATTGATTGGCTGTGTATTAAATTTCTTTTCAAGTAAGAGTTATAGCGTAAGATATATTAAATTAAAGAAATAAAAAAGTTTAATATAAGGGGATATCGCTTTTATAAGGAAAGTAATTTGAATAAAGTTGTTATACAAACACCTGTAAATAACAACATTGTAACTCAGTATTATAAGAATTTTGAATTTAGGTTTAAAATATCTAAAGAAATTAATTTGTTTTTTTTTTTAATTATCTCAATTCTGAGTTACACTACTGTTCTTTGCAAGCGCCGATATGTATAAATACAGCATAAAAATCCATACAATAGGCGATCATCCATTGATTGCCAGCTGATTTGCTGCCAAATGTAAGGGTTGTCAAATATACCAATTTTATGATAAACGTGATATTGGCGAAGGAATCTGTGCTCAACTTCCACGCTTTGGAAATTGGAGCCATTAAAAAAGAATTGATTTGAATGATAAACGTTTTCAAAGTTATAACGCTGTTTGATCTTGTAACAAGTTACATTTGGACGTAGTTATGCAAAATGGATCCAGCCCACAAAAACCGTTTTTTGAGTTTACTATTAGGGCTTATAAAATTTGTATATACTTTAATCTGCTTTAATGAATGCTGAAAACAGTCCCTCAAATACTATCGACGCCTATAAATATATAAAATAAAGATCTTTTTGTTTCTGATGTCTTATTAGTAGCAAATTAATGCGGGGTAGGTTTTTTTTTAAATTGATGTATTACGTTTTTTTATTTCTTAACTTTTTTTTTGCTAAGTTTTCTATATAAGGTACATACTTACTTAAACAATGTGCAATTGATTTTTTCAACAGTGATTATTTTAACTTATTATAGTTTGTATTTTTTTTGTATCTACTTACTTTTTATTTTATTACTTAATTTGGGTCCTACACCTATACATATATTAAAATTGTAACAAAACCGAATCTGTACATTAAATTTTTTTTGGAAAATCTTCGATACAGAGGCCGAATCTATAGTTTTTAGAATTTTTGTCTGTCTGTCTGTTACCGCATCACAGAAAAACCACTGGAGGAATTTTGATGAAATTTGGTATGGTGATAGCTGGTTATCCGGGTCAACATATAGAATACTTTTTACCGCGGGAAAATATCTCATTTCTGAGAAAAATACAAAAACTGCGTTGTAAGAGTATACTAATATGTAAAACCTAAGAATTTCGTTTTTGTTCATCTGAACGCGAGTGTAGCCGCGGGAAATGCTAGTATTATTTATATTTTATACATATGGTCAAAGATAAAATAGAAATAAATAAAAAAATACAAATGATTAGACATTTATGATTGAATTAAATAAGTGTTAAATAATAAATTGCGAAATATTTAAAACTATAACGTTCAAAGTTAGACAAATAAGGATTATGTTTGAGGTGATATAAAGACACATAGTAGTATAGTATATTGAGTATTGTTTATTAATCTCAAAAAGGGCTGGACCGATATGAATAATTTTTGTTTTGTTGGGGGTGTGACAGGGGTGGATTAAGTATAAGAAAATTAGGAAAAACCCAAAAAACCTGCTGGAAAATCGAAAAGTTCAGAACTGTTTATTTTATACCTATGTATATATATAATATATAGTCTATCTATACTATACTCTAACGTCTGTTTATCTATACCATACCAACCGTTAAGTAGGTACGTTACCTAGGGATGATCCCGAGCGAGGGTGAGTCGCTAGTATATTTGTACAATTATATTTGTAAGAACTGAGAAAATTAAAGTAAGTAGTCCTGGACTCAGGCTAAAGAATTATAAAGATAGAGTCCGACAAAAAAATGTCAAAGCCAAAATTAGAAGCGTGATTTGCTATTTGAGCTACTATTCAATTTTACCGTAGGTACGTATCGTTTACTTTCTATAAAGTATAAGAAAAAAATATATAGGTATTAATTAAATTAATTTACAATTTTTGAGAAGGAAATATAAATTATAAAATTATGCCAGGTATATATATTTTTTTGTATTTTTTAAGCATTTATTACCACCATTTATTTATTTTTTCTTTATACAATAAAAATCCGTTAGATACTTTTATTGTATTTATGAATATTTATTTACTTATCACTCATTGTCACTGTTTTAAAACATCCATCTTATTTTAAAACATTTTGTTTGGCTTCATGTTTAGTTCTATGACACTCTGTCTATATTAATCCTTAGTCTATATTACCTATTAGGTATATATTAAATAAATATGTTGGGACATTAACTTCCATGGTAAGCTATGAAGTCTGTGCTATAGATACCACATAGTTGAACACGTATATAACTTTAAATACATACATATTATAAATATAAACACCCATGACTTGAGTGCAAGCATTCGTGCTCATCACACAAATGAATAGTATATTATAAGTCCTCCAGCGGGACTCGAACCACCACGGTACACCAAGTAGGGTCACTACAAACTGAGCCAAACGTCGTCAAACTTACTACGTCAGTATTACTCGATATTGGATGTTAAAATGATTATTTATATACGAAAGTCATAATAGCTATTTTTTGCTATATTACAAATAATAATAAAGAAATTGAAAAAAACAAATATAATAAAAGAAAATGCTATTTAATCAAAATTTGGCAGTCAATATATACCAAAAGCTTGAGTATAATATACATATAAGTAAATGACTTAATCTAAGAATATCGATAATTATCAAAGAATCGAATACTCGATTACTTTGAAATCGCCTAAATATCTTAAAAACGTTTTAAATGTGTTGATAGTTCGATTAAACGATTTAATTTAAAACAAAATCAGAATTAAAAAACGTCAAAAATAATAACAAAAGAAAAAATATTGTAGAATTTACGTATTTTTCAAACATCAAATTGAAACTTTTACAATCATTTTTAATGGATTCAATCGATTGATTCTACAGTAGTTACAATATTTTTATGTGATTCTGATTTTATTAGTTCGGGTAACCGAACTATTAACAATTTACGAGTAATGTTAATACAAGAAAATCTAATTAAATACTTATAGGAAGCCAATTTTAAATCACAAATTCAGACTATAATATAATTTTTAGAGACATTAAATCTCAATTTTGAAATTATTTATATGAAATGAAACCAAATACTTATTTTAGACTAATATTTATTTAATTTTTACACTAATTTTACAATGATTCATATAAATTAATTTTACAGTGATTCATGATTTATTAATATTATGATTCTAAATATTGAATGATGCAAACACTTTAATAGAAATGTTATTAAATATGATACATTAAATTTAAATACTTATATTAATATATACATTCAACTTAAAATCAAGGTAGATTAAACGGCTAGGTATTGCTTATAAACTCTAAAACTTGGATATGATTTACATCAGGGTTTCCCAACCTTTCTTCTGCTCTATCTCCCCGGATTATAAAAAAATAATTTCACCCCCAATCAATTTTTTTATTATAATACAACACATTATTTTAACGATTTATACTTTCATGCCTCCCTTAATTTTTTTATTAGAATAAAACATTATTTTAACGATTTTAATTTATTTTAATTTTAAGGTATATAAAATAAGCTCTCTCTACGCCCCCTGGTTGGGAACTCCTGACCGAAAAGAATTTTAAAACCATCATATTGTTTACATACAATTTAAAAAATATATTAAAAATTTACAAAGTGAAATTACTTTTTCTTAATTTTACAGCGAATATATAATAATTTGTATATAGAATTATGAAGGATTCTGTTAACCGACTTCCAAAAATGAGTAAATAAGCAATTATGAGAGGTTCATGTTAGCTGATATCGCTTTTTCTTAACTATTTGTTCTAGATTAGTATTAACTCTTGTTGTACAAAATGAAACATCGAGACTTATTTTTAAATGGGAGATTCAATGACTTCAAAAATTAAAATTTACATTAAAAACGTGTGTTATAAGAATATTATATGTAATGTATGGATACTAGATAGTAATGTATTGGATGGAGAGAAACGGTTTTAAAAAATTATTCAACATTTATATTAAACAAAAGTTGAACTATCAGAGTGGGTCTATAAGATAGAATACCGCACGTTTTTACAGTATTCGATTATAAATGTAAAAGTAGAAGATGTTTACATGATATATTTTCATTCGTGTAAAATACGAACAGACAGTTTTCTGTCAGCAATTATCACGAATATACCTTAAAGTTTATTCGTTCGTTCGTTTGTTCAAGTTAAACATATTTAACGGACAATCGTGTACATTTTGTTTCAGTAGATACAGAAATGATATTCCAAAAGAATTTTTTTCGTAAACTCGAAACATACTTCATATATTCGTATAGTGAAGTATAGCTCAGCTGTCAAGTTACAAAAACTTTTTATAGAATACCACTATGCCTAGAAGACGCATTATGTAGCGCTACTAGTTATTCGATAAAATGCATATAGTTTACTGTAAAAAACGTGCAGCACAAGTGTGAACCCAGTCTCAAATGTAGTGCTGTTATGTAAGTTACACGAAAGAACACATGTTATTTATTACTAAAAAAAATATGTAAAAATGTTAATAAAGAGAAAAATGGAGGGCAATACTGTAAAAAATATATGACGTTAAGAATTTGAAATTAATTTAAATAAAAATAATTACAAAAAAAATTGAATCGTTTTTACGTGCCAATAACGATGAAGGAATATAACAGAGAAGGTGAATTAGATGATATAAATATTATCAGCATTTACTAGTAATGTCACGTGTGGTGGTACTGCAGGTGTGCGAGCGGGTGCTCGTACAGCGGGTACAGCGGCGGCGCGTGCGCGGCGGCGTGCGGCGCGTCGCTGTCGTCGTCTGTGGATGAGTCCAGCTGCTTGTCACCTGTGCCACCGCTGTAAACAACATAAGGGACTTCATTTCTATTCAATTAAATCTCAATTTTCCTGTTAGAAGAGACGGTATCTCTCTTAATAATGATTACTGTAAAGCTTTCGAAACATCGGGAACTAAAACTAAAAGGTAACACAGAACGGAGTACACCACGTTTAAAATCATTACACATTTGTTACTGATCGAAACGGCAAATGTCAGATATGACATTGACAGGCGACATGTACCTGTTATCGATAATTGTCTTTGTCTTTTTTAGCTTTCACTAAAAGAGTTTTTTCGGTGATGAAAGTGAAGTGGTGAGAAGAGAAAAATAGATCGTCCATAAATTTAATAAAAAATGAATTATTTTTCTATTAAAATCCAAACTTGGATTGTAAAATTAGTCTTGAAACGTTTAAAAATAACCAAAAAATTTTAACATGTGCTAAAAGCACAAAATTATATGAATTTTAAGCAATAAAAACTTAAATTTGAAAAATACTTTTTTTCTTGCAAATAATTTATTACAAACAATTAAATACGTGTATTTCCTCAAAAAAAAGTTGGCAGCCCTACGTACATGAGACCAAATAAGATATACTCTAATTTTGAGTTAGCCGAATAGATTTATTGTCATTAAAGTCTCCGCAACCCAGAGTTGGGATTCAGATGATGTATTTATTTATCTATTACTAGCAGAACCTGCGGCTTCGCTCGCGCTAAAACTGGAAAAAATATAAAAGGTAGTTTCATACAATCTTTCATCCCCTATTTAACCCCCTTATAGGATGAATTTCGAAAAATGGTAAAACACGTATTTATTTAATTTTATTGAACAGCATTAATAGCAAGTTTCAAGTAATTCTGATCATAAATATTTTTTTGGATTGTATTATAACGTGGTTTCCCGTGGGAATTAGATGATCTTCCGCGGTAAAAAGTAGCCCATGTCACTCTCCTGCCCTCAACTATTTTCATACAAAAAATCACGCCAATCCGTCACTCCGTTTCGACGTGAAAGAAGGACAAACAAACAAACACACTTTCACATTTTTATTATTAAGTATGGATAATTGTCAGCAAACTAAATAAGTAATTAATCGCTAATTGCACTAAATAATAGCAACGCTAGCTATAGCGAAACATGAACATCTGTATAATTGAAAAAATTTCCTTGTGGGAGTCGAACTTCTGAACAGCTAACATGATTCATGCAACATAAACAGAGAATGGACTAATCAGGACTGTGAAATGTATTTTAGAGAAATATATACTAAATTAGAAACATATTAAGATACTTTAAGACGGGGGAAGGTTTTGTTGGGTTTTAGTGGGTAGTACTGGCTTTGCCGGTGAGTCCCACACCTCGTGCGTAAATGCATTTCCCAACGTTAAAAAAAAAAAAAAAAAAAAAAAAAAAGGCAATGGAGTACCACACTGCCAACTTCTCAACTCCCGAGTTGTTACTGAGAATTTCTACTCGTCGAGCCTATTTATTAGGTCACGGTATGTATTTCATGCTTTAAATATTTGTATGGTCAATCAATACAAACATTTGAATGTGCTAGAATCGAATACGCTTCATTTCGATCTAATATGGAATGAATAATTACTATTGTGCTGCCACGATTGTAGGTTGAATTAGATACTCGTGTGCTATTCTAAATAAGCAAAATGTTTTGTAGTATCAGCATTAAGGTTTTATAAGCAAAAGGTTGAATAATTTACAGCCAAAATTAATGAAGTACCTAATTGACTTTACTAGAGGGTTTGGACTTTGGACATTCTAGAATTTTTAAGCTATTAGAAAATTCTAAATTCTAAAATATTTCATTTTTAGTTTGCTACAAACGGGTACGCGTGTAAAACATAGTGTGTAAATCTCCAGAGATAAGACCAGAATCCTACTTCTATTTGGATTAATATTATAAATGCGAAAGTTTGTATGTATGTTTGTGTGTCTGTTACTCCTTCACGCTGAAAGGGCTGAACGTATAACAATGAAATTCAGTACAAAAATAGACTTTAACTTGAAGCAGCATCAAGACTCCTTAGGAACCACATGTTTAGTAAGTTACGTATATAATTGACCCACGGTTATTCACTTCAGGCATTAGTCTCAAGCATATGAGTAAAAAAAAATGTACACACCAAATATTATGATTTCTACTTTAGAAGTATTGGTATTTTTTTTTCGAAAAAAACAAAATTACTAGCGAAGAAGCCCTAGTATCATGTTTCGGTCAATACAGCGGGTATAAAATGGGTAGTCGGCCTCGATCAGGCCGAAGCACAAAATGACGTATCCTCACTGACAGCCCGCCCCTAAGTAACTTGATATGCTATGAACGGCCATTATTGTTTTTCTTTTTTTTTTTTGCTAGACATAGACAAATAGACTTTTTTGAAGTTCATAATTTTCATTCATTTTTTATCTGTTTTATTTTGAGTATAAACATACACAACTATAAACCATTACTAAAATTCTAAGTCCAAAAATGTATCATTGTATTATTAAAATATTCATTTAAATAGCAATAATAGAACTCCTTAACCTAATTTTTCTAATTTTTTAATTCTTAACAAATAGCATTAGGCCTTTTAAAACAATGTGAGAAGAATGAGAGTAAAACGAGTTATTGAGTGACAAAATTAACTATGACACTAAAATAGAATTAAGTTTGTCTGTCTAGAGAGATCATAAAGAATAACTATGTCAACGATCAGGGATGTATTATGTTTTTTGTTACTTGTCACATGCAGGACATTGACTTTTCGTTAACCTTTAAAAAATACGTTAATAAAGAGGTTTCAATCTTTAATAATCCATCAAGGCTTTATTTATATTATAATATGAAGAATACGAATACAATTAAATAAGTTGAAATAAGTATAATAGTATATCTAATTAATAATAATAATAATAGTTCAAATTTCTCTAAAAAAACTCTCTTTATCATAGTCCAGTTTTGTATGCCTAATTTATGACAATGTAATAAATTAATCGATTTGACATTCAATATATAACATTATCACATAAAGTAAATTAAGTATATCTCAAGTACTGGCCACATACAAAACCAAGGAGGTCTAACTTTTTTTATTTTTCTTAATTCCAAAGTCGGCAATGGGCGCACCGAAGCACAAATTTCCAGTCGATCGAGCGAAAAGATTTAGAAATTGTGTTTTAGACAATAATGGCGCCGTGCTTAGATATTCAATAACTACCTGTTCCGTTCTGCTAGAATGGTTTTAAGAGGATAATAGATACGTTTTTTACGAAATAACGAAATCTCAAATATCTTAAGATTAACAAAAAAAAGAGGATAATTGAAGTAAATTGAAAAAATCAATAGAAATGTTAGTTTTAAAGTTAGAAAAGATACGTGTAGACAAAATATACGACAGACATTCGAAGCCATATACATATATAATCTTAGTTTCATTGTTCTTTGTCTCACCGGAACAAACATCTGTATGGTCAATACAAATATTAAGTGAAAGAATTGAACCCGCGACATCTGGTGTGTCCGTCCAGTAAGGCATGCGCCACAATAAATGTCAAAGTTAGATGATTTTTAGTCATTTTTATTCTCTAGAAAATTTGAAATAGATCTGTCGGTTTTATCGACGCGAAGTACAGGAGTATACTGTTGCATCGATTGTCTCGAAACTTTAGTGATTGTTTTTATTCTAAAACGCGCGATCTTAATAAATAGATTTACACTATAAAATTATTGGACAATTCCACATTCTTTTGTCTAAATATACTTACATTATAATAGCATATGCATACGTTTGTGTGTAATGTGGGTGTGTATGTCATAATATGTAAGTCTAGTTTACTCTACTAAAGATAGTGTAGTCAAGTTACAATGGTTATATTCTTACTTATAATCGAACAATTTGCTTTAATTTGTTTGCTTAAATTTCTGACAATATACATGAAAAATCCAAAGTAGCAAATCTAGTATTCCCTTATATGAAAAAAAATATCTTGGATATCATATAATATATTCTATACTCTCGTATAAAAAATATATAATTAAAGATTTTCTTCCAATTCTAACTAGAATTTCAAAATTCCCTTCAAATACTATAAAATATCTATAAATATCGACAGTTTTTATTATATAAAAACTCTACAATAACATTTCTACCAAGTACGTCCCTGTTAGCTTTTAGAGCGCAGATGTGGTGGTGTCAAGTTACCTATTGCTATCTCCCTCGCTCGTATAGCGCCCTCTCATCTCTCATTGCAAACACTTTCAAACTGTTCAGTGTTTATATATGGACGGGAAATTGTATGAATTCAGCTTTAGAAACCTACGTTTTGTTTTATGAATTTACTTGGATTGTTTATATATTAAACTTATTTCATCGTACATACAATATATAAAACAAAGCATCTTTCTGTCTGTCTCCGTTAATGCAAAAAAACAAGAATGGCCGGTTTAATTTACATGATTATTTCCTTAAAATCAAATAACCTCATTTAGTTATCTTTCAGCATTCATTTGGGTGTATTAAGTAAACTCAGTATTATTGACAATAAGTATGTGAGTTGTTTCGAAAGAAAAATCAAATTTCTAGAGGCATACGAGATTTAAGTTAATGTATAAGAGGAGGTGCGAGCGAAGCTAGTACAAATCGCTAGTATAGAATATAAATATTTTGTTATTCAAGTCTCTTTAGATTCGATTTAAACTTGAGGCTATTTATTTCGCGGTCGTATAAGGGTTTTGTCGTTGATTTTATGAATTTTATACGTTTTATATTATTGGTGAATATACCTAAAACTTAAGAAAATAGTTTAACATTAATTTGATAATTATGGAAAAATTGATATACATATTGTATATGGTATTACTTGTATAATAGAAACAATAAAAATCGTGTAAAGCGGCTTTTACGCTGGACTGACACACCATGTAAAATTTTATATTATTTTTTAATAACTTATCGTAATTAACACCGAATTATTCATTTTTTCGTATTTTATTATAAAAATAAAGAAGTTTTGTTTCCCTATAAAATAATTGTGAATTTCTGTCAATTAAAATGTATTGATAATATTCCAAACACACTGTCTTATTTCAAAATCGGTTGAGGGAATGTTTAACATTTAAAATTTGGCAAGCTCTTTTCAATAATAGAAAAAAATATCCAAATATCAACTCTATTATGTGTAAATAAAGTTTATATTGCTTTACATAACATTTATATGTATATAGTATCGTATTACGAAGCCTAGCGAACGGTCCCAATAACGAAGTTTTCTAGAAAATACCTACGAATTGTTTGTAATAATGGTAAAATATATGTTTTAGAAAGAACCTAATATAAGATATAATACGTATTTTCATTTTTATGCAAAAGTCAAGAAAATGAAGGCCAAAAACGTCCAATATATTCATAAATACAAACTTTACCTCTTTATTATATACTAATATAATAAAGAGGTAAAGTTTGTGAATTCTGAGTTTGTGACGTTGTAGGGGGTAATCTCTGGATCTACTGAACCGATTTAGTTGAAATTTGGTAAGAAGATAGTTTGAGGCCCTGGAAAGGACATAGGATTTTTTATCCTGGAAATCATCCCTTAAGGGGGTTAAAATGAGGATGAAAGTTTGTATGGGGAATCAACCTAGGGACGAACCCAAGTGAAGCGAGGGTGAATCACTAGTCTTCAATAAAGTATATTTATTACAAAACCGTAGATTAATTCCTTACAAAATGAACTACAGGATTATTTTGTTAGGCATTAAAAGTCAAAAGTGAACCTATTTCGATGAGATTTTGTATAGTTTTAAAAGGACACTTTCAGTAGGTAATTATTAAACTAATTTATATTTTCTTACATAGAAAATATATAAATATAATATTTTTTAGATTAACGCGAACATTTAACATTTTAAGTAAAATGGTCTTTTCGGATTTATTCGCGGATTTATTTAGATTTTTGGTTCCCGACGTTTTGAATGCTTTAGGTACGCTTTACAGCAATCATGATCATAGTATCTCTCAAACCAAAAATCAATATTTATATATTTAAAATATATAAATATAATAAGCTTAAAAAATAAACTTACCTATCTTTGTGTTCCGCTTGTCTGTCTCTTTGTCGCCTGTTTTTAAACCAATTTGACACCTGCAATAATGTAAATGGCAATTATTACACATAATAATTTATGTGTATTTATGTATAGGAGGCACATTTTTATTCACCAGCGGTTTGATTACTACAGATTACTCATAAATATTTATGAATTTTTACTATACTTTGCGAGTGATTTTTAACCGACTTCCAAAACGGAGGAGGTTCTCATTTTCGAGAATCATTTATGCCATAAGATAGATTATTATTTAAAAAAAATCGTGCTTCATAGAGGTCTAATATAATAATGTCCTCTATGCGATTTCGACCATGGCTGTCATATCGTTAAGATAAGACATACGCAAGAAATAAAATTATAGTGCACAAATGTGTGAACAAACAAAAAAGGTACGCTCATGCGTTGGGATGACAATTCGACACGATCGTCGACCGCTAACAGATCAGGGGGACTTTACGTGCGTGGGCGTGCTGACCCTGGCCTCGAACCCAGAACCTCTCGTTCGGTAGCCGTATATGTTAGCCACTAGACCAATGAGGCCACTAAGGCAGACACCGTTCCAATTTGTCCATCCGTCCATCACAAGGTACTGTTATTAATTTTTGGGTACAGAACTTCATAACGACCTCCCAACCAGGTCGATCGCTCCCGATAGTCGCACAAAAGCTCAAAAACGTAGTTTATTTATTAGGTTTTCAAAACCGAAAGGAAACCTAAATAAGTTCAGTCGAAACCTAAACAAGATGTTAGTTAATACATTATACAAGACTAATGGCCGATTTCACTAACGTCACCTAAGTTTAAGGGATCCCCTAAGCATGGTTAGGGGACTGGTAGGGGAAAGTTTCTGTTGCACCGACAGTTAGGGGTCACCTAAATGTTAAAATGCCACCTAAGTATAGGTACTAGAAATACTGGCTCTGACGATGGTAAAACGAAATTTAATTTAGGGGCTAGTTTTGGGGAACTTTTAAGCTAGGGATCCCATACGTAGGTAGTAGCTTATGGGATGTTGGTGAAATCGGGCATAACAGTCATTATTTAAAGTCGTGGGCTATTATATGGTGAGTCATTTCGGTATACTGCAGAAAACAGGAACATTATTTCTATATCTTTGTATGTATGATAACAAAATTAATTCGAGGTCAAGAGTTAAAACAAGACTGAATTTAAGACACTTTTGGTAGGTTTTTATTAGGTTAACTAAATGAATACATAATCTAATATTAAAGGATTTTAACAATTATTGTCATATCTATTTGAAACTTTTATATAATCCTTGACAATATAACAATTTGTTTTTTTTCTTTTAATATCAAATTAATCAATGTTTAATCAATATTATACAATTAAAAACCACTAAGGCTTATGTAATGCTACATTATTACAGATACTAAGTATATTACTACTAATATATATTTCTTTCTTATATATATTTTAAGCACAGAAAAATTTATATTTTTTTTACTCTGCCTTAATGTTCTCATTTGTAAAGTTAATTAATTTACAGTGAACACTATTTATAAGTCGCAGAGTACATGTATTGTATAGTTGTTCATTCTTCGTAAAGGAATTGTTTAATATGCTTTCGTGTATTATCGAGCTGACAGATAGGTATCTAGAGTGGCTCAGTGGTAACGCGCTCGCTTGCAAAACCGAGGAAAGCGGGTTCAAATCCCGAGTCTCGCACCTCTGATATTTTCGTGTGCGGATTATTTCCAACATGATTACCACTTGCCTTACGGTGAAGGAAAACATCGTGAGGAAACCTGCATCTCTGAGAAAACCTAGCAAGTTGTCGAAAGACATGGTAAGTCCACCAGCACTTGGCCAGCGTGGTAGACAATGGCCTGATCCTCATCGTATTGAAGGGTCGTGCCTCATACATACATAATACATATGATCAACCTGATTAGATGATAGCGATTAATTGAGTAGAAAGTCAGAAGTCAATTCTTCAATGACTTTCGATTTTGGGCTTATTACAACTCACTAACGTGTTTTTTTTTTCGTTATTTTTTAATCATAAATTGTTTTTTGAATTAGATTTAGAATGCTTTTTTGCTGAACAATGAACGAATGAAGTTCAAAATATGTATATGCAAACTAGCCATTACAGGCCCGCTTTGTTGGGCGTATGTAAATGTTTCTTTTGGTCTTCAGAGACCTTCATGTATATGTAGATTTTTGCTTATAAATTAAATATATAGGTTAAATAAAAAAAATATGATAAAGTATACATAGCCTTTTGTTTTTAGTCGCGGAAAAGTAATTAAAGTTAATTAAAAAAATATATGGTGAAAAGTGTGACAGAAGAAAAAAATAAAGTGCCTAAAACCATCTACAGACGATCCCGCGTCGATTAATCAGTCTCATACGTATACGTCATATGTTCAGTCTAATCAGTCAGTTAATACGTGATGGCGTGACAGAGAAAACTTATTTTCATTACACATATGTATATAGATAACATTATTTCGGACTTGAAATAATAAAATTTAAAACGAAAATAAATATATTTTAGAAAACAGAACCTAACATAAGAAAATATTTCTGTAGGAGCTACCTAATTACCTGACATATTATTTATATAGAATACGGTAATATCATCTACGAGTAGAATAGGTTTCAACATAAATATTCTCAATTTCAAATCTAAACTGAACGGACAACTGCTGTAACATAATCTATTGGGTTTTGAGGAAGCGGTAGAGATTATGTTTCACCGCAACGCGGATAAAAATTGTTTTTCCTTACTATGTGACTTTGAGACTAGCGTTTGTTTGTGGCTTTTATTGTACATATTTTTTTAGTTCTGACATTATCTTACATTTAAGCTAGCGATTTACCATCGCTTCACTCGGGTGCGTCCCTTGTTAATTTTTAAATAGATAAATAGTGTTAGCCGTGTAAATATAAATATTTTTTTCGTGAAGTTTTCCAATTTTTTTATAGTTATTCTGCTATCCGGGGCGGAAACAAATCTAACAAAACAAATATCATAAAAAACTGTCCAGCCGTTCTTGAATTAAAAATGGTGTAACTAATCCGAGTCTTTTTTATATGTATTGTATTCAGCTCTTTTTAACGTCCCACTGCTGGACGTGGGCCTCCCTTCAATACGAGGAGATCAGACCATAAACCAGGCCGTCCACCACGCTGGCCAAGTGCGGGTTGGCGGTTCACATCTTCCGAATCTTGTTAGGTTTTCAAACATGCAGGTTTCCTCACGATATTTTTCTTAACCGTAAGGACAAGTGATAATCATGTAGGGAACGATGCGCACATGAAAATATCAGAGGTGCGAGACCCGGGGGTTTGATCCTGCTTCAGTCGGTTTCCCAAGCGACTGCGTTACTGGGTCTGAGTCTTTTCGTTATCAAAGTATAAACAATAATTGACCATTAAAATAAAGAAATCTTTAGAAGCAATTATTATAAAATACCTATTAAAATAGCAATTATTATAATATCTTTAGAAGCAATTATTATACCTGTACAGTAGTGAGTCCGGTTGTTTCAGCGAGCTCCCTTTTCTCTCTCGGCGACGGATACGGATTATGAAGGTACCAATCTCGAAGTACTGATCGAGATTTTTCCTGTTAAATGGTTAGAATCACGGTAAATATTTTCTAATTTGTAAAAAAATCTGAAAAATTAATAGCCCGTTTTTAAAATCACTTTGAAAATTAGCAGTCCATTTTTATGGAATTTTCGTCAAATTTGTATGGGTATTTTTGGAAGTAGGTACCTATCCTAATAATAATAAAAATGAATCATGAAAATCGGCCTACAAATAGCGAAGTTAAGTAGTTCCTTTTGTGAAGTTAGTCAGCCTTCAAGCCGAAAAGGCTGGCCGTATTTAGATGAAATTGAGTGCACAGTTGACCGGGAGTAGCATATATTTATACTATGAATGGCACTCGAGCGAAGCGAGATCAAATCATTAGTATCTACATCATATCTTAACACCTACAGGTAAATTTCTAAGAAATTAATGAAATTTCTAAGAAATCTATTGTTAACTGTAACGCCGGCGTGTCCGCGGTCGTTGAGGGATTAAGGATAAATATAAAATTGTCTTAAAAATCCGAACATAATATTAATAAATATTGAAAAAAATAATCAAAACTATAACTAAAAAAGTGGTCATTTTAAATATCTAATCATACAATATACAAATTAAATTCTATATGGGCATACCTTGAAGCAATAACTAGTTTCTTCACCGTCCCATATAGTCCTGGGTAAAGGGAACTTGCGACGCACTCTGTATTTGCCGACGGCGCCTAGCGGCCTGCCTCGTAACCTCTCTGCTTCCATGTAATGTGCTGAAATATTCTACTGCTATAACTTATAATATCCTGTTATAATATCTATCGGTGGCCAATGTCATTGAGACTGGCCAACTGTAGGAGATATTATAGTGCAGTGCTTGCACGCGCATATAAAACGTGCACTCTCTATTCCTGTCACTCTCATACTCCGGTGGGACGACTGCTCGACACGACCAGTGCAACGCAACGCAGTTAAGGCGCAGAACTGACGGCTTTACGTGCTCTCCGAGGCACGGGGGTGAAACACCACCAACTTCTGGCTATTACTGAGCCTTACTACACAGAAAAACTCAATAGCCAAACTTGGCCTGTCCCAGTACTCGAACCCAGGACCACCGAATGTGCAGCTGTACATGCTAACCACTATACCCCCGAGGCAGTTACATATAATATCTAAAATACTTAATAATATGCAATGAAATGAATGTAGATGGATAGAGAGGTAAAGGTGGACCGAAGATAAGGTGGATAAATTGTGTGGGACAGAAGATGAAAGAAAAATGGGTGAATGATGAGACGACAAGTAATAGGGGAGAGTGGAAGAGGAAGAATTACTACTCCGACCCTAAGTCATTTGGGAAATAAATATGTTGGAACATTAACACTCAGCAACACTTAGTTCTATGGTAAGCTACGAGGCTTGTGTTATGGATACCAGATAGTTGACATACTACACATATATACCTTTAAATACATACATATTATAAATATAAAGATCCATGGCTGGAGTACAAACATTCGTGCTCATCACACAAATGAATGCCCCTAGCGGGACTCGAACCCACGACCACTGGCACAGCAAGTAGGATCACTACAAACTGAGTCGTCTTTCTATCATCTGGAAATGGGCAGAGGGATGATGATACTTAATCCCATCGCTACTATAATAAATGCAAAAAATTGTGTGTGCGTGTATGTTTGTTACTCCTCAATGCTGAAATGGCTAGACCGATTTGGATGAAATTGTGTATTAGATAGACTGTGACCTGGAGTGACATATATGCACTATTTGTAGGCACTTAAAGACGTACCTTAATGAAGCAAGGTAGCTGAATGAAGCAAGCTAGTTGACATTATAAATACGAAAGTTTTTGCGTGATTTGGTTTCTTATTTCTTTACATAGTAACGACTCAATGGATCTGAATGAAAATCGAAATGGAGATAGCTTATATCGTTCGATCCGTCGCTCCGCCCGTGTAGTTCATTTATATGTAACTGTTTTGCTCCTAAAGTTTATAGTATTATGCTAGATACCTTTCTCAATAAAAAGGTTATAAAATATAAAGAGTTTTTCAAAAAGGACATGTAATTCCAGAGATTGGTACGCTCAAACAAACAAACGAATGCTTCAGCTACATACGTATAGATTCATACATCACTGAGTATTTCTATCAACGTCTTACTCAAATAGAACTATGGACAAAAATTAGTACAGAAATTAAAAGACCTATCGATTATTTTAATGTGTGTTCATCTTGTTTTTATAAGATGAATTATACATTTATCGTAATCTCTTATACTATAGATCCGATTTTAACTTTTGCTTGCAAATCTTATAATATTAAATGAGCAATTCTTGTATATTTATATTTATTTCGTGTATCTCGGAAACGGCTCCAACGATTTGGATTAAATTTTGTATTTATATAATGTTTAGCTTTTTAAGTTAATCTAGGTGTTTTTTTCTGAAAGAATCAACTTTTCCGAAAAAACACGATTTTATAAAAATTAGCCTTTTTTTAGCGAAGCTCGGTCGTCGAGATACTAAGGATTTTGAACGAGTAGTCTTCGTCTGTCAATTATCCTCGAAAAGGAAAAGGCTTTCGTCGGGCATTGAACAAGAACGACTTCATCGATTTTAATAAACTTACACTGGCGGGTTTTTTTATTTGGGGGAAAACATGCTAATATCTTCATTACTATTTACATATATAACTATGTTATTATTTAAAATTAAAGCAAAGTTAACAAATATATATGAAAATTATTTATACCGTTGACTAACCTTTCAGCCAAAGATTCTGTAATTTTTCATGATTGTGAGCGCTGAAATTGTGTGATTCTAGCAATCTGTACAGTTCTTTGAAGTTGCCTCTATGGAAGGCTACCATTGCTTTGGCCTTCAATACAGATTCATGTGCATGGAGACGTTCGCACGCGGGTAGAGACCAGAGGAACCGACCCAATCTCTCAATGTTGCCAGCTTGTTGAAGTACCTGAGGGGTAATTGATATGATAAGTATTTATTATATTCAGCACGGTTCTCATGGTGGACTATGGCTTTCCCGAGTGAGTATTAAGGAAAGGCAGTGCCAAAAACAGTGGGACGTTAAAATGGTTCTAAACTAGTTCTACAGTCCCGTAAAAATAAATAAACATCTAATTTTTGTATGTAAAACCTGATCTTCGACAGTTTACGCATATATTAATTTTCTTCATTTTTGCATATTAAGAATTAGGTACTTTTGCAGTTTCAGAAGCGTTACAGTGCACTGAGTTTATACTCTGTGTAGAATTTTAGGAAACTATCAGTCTATGAATGTAATAGTATCAGTTACCTTCGATTAATAAATTAAAAAAGCCAACTAACAAAAATTAAACATTTTTTGTGTTGAGCTTTGTGCTTAAAGTTTAACAAAGTTTTTTTCCGTTAGATATTCTAAACTATCACTGTACCCAAAATTACCTCAAAATAAACGATGAATAACTAAAAATTATACCTATTACTCTTAACTAAAAGTCTTAATAAATATCAAAATATTAAAAAAAACGTGTTTGTGTACTTAGAAGTTATACTTCTTTGGCGTTGCAGAACAAAAATAGCTAAAGATTTCATCCCGTATGTCACAACTCTGTTTGTAAAAGGAGTGCAGTTAACTTCATCATGTCGCTTTTTAGCTGTCGGTGTGCGCTTACATCGTAAAAATTATACTGTCATAATTTTTTCCAAACGTCTCAAAAGAAGTATAACTTAAATAAAGAAGTGAATACGTAGGGTTGGAATTTATTCTTGACTCTTGACTTAATTTATATTTGAGCTTATGAGATATTTAAATCTGCTCTTTAAAAAAAGAACAATTAAAATTGGTTACCTTTTGGCGAAGATAAGATATAGGTTTGTACAAAAAAAATCAAGAAACCGAATTGAGCACCAAATATCTTCAATTATTTATAACTTTTTTGAAGTGAAAACTTCTATAGGCAGATTTGGATGGGGAGTAAATTCCTGCAAGTCGTCATCGACATGGTCACCTGACGTGTTAACGCTAACAGTGCCGATAGATGTCAAAAGTCAAAACCAGATAAATGTAAACAGTTTTAATTTATAAATTTTAATTTAAGATCAATCAATTAACAATTAATTTGAATATCCAAAAATAACAACCGCTTGTTTATAGTTTTAAGTTTTCACTTCTGTCGACAGATCTCATGACTGCATTTTTCTTTTTTTTTATTCCTAGATAGGCTTGCGCTTGACGACAATCAACGCTGGGAAGCACTAATAAGGTCTAGGTTGGAGCGCGCTTGCCTAGAAGATGCCTATTCATTTTTGCCTTGAAGGTATTCATATATATTATATAGGTGGCAAGCATGCTGGAAGCGTGGTCCACACCTTAGCAGTTCGTATTTATGAAGTCAACAAAAATCAAATTAAATTTTTGAAAATAAAAATAAGATACTAAATGCTGTATCACAAAAACAAGAATGTAGAGTTTTATTTTTATAAAAATATAGATTTATTAAAAAAAAAAGAAAAAATTAAAGACAGACAAAAAATAAAAATGTTTCAAAGGTTAATGCAATATTTGTTTTTTCAAGATACGTGAATATTATAAGTACCACAGAAATACAATAGTAATAATAATGAAGGTAGTTTTTCTATTGTTTGTACAATGGCTTTATTGATTATACGCAAGTTTTTGAGTGTGAGTTTTATTTCTTCGGAATAGAGATATCAGATACTTAGCTTATATGCCGAACTAACATATAGGCTTTTTAAATACAAAACTTCATATTTAAAATTATTTTAATTACTAGCAACCCAAGTATGTATATCGTACATTTCACTTAACTTAAACGGGCTTTCCTCTAAAGCCCTTGAACATTTTTGTCATAAAATTAAGATATTACTTATTATTATTTAATTTTTATTTTGAGAAAAAGACATAATGTCTCAAAAAATTAAAATTTTCTTTATTTAATATTGTTATTTCCTAAACCCTACTAAGTACCAGCAGTTTGGTTTCTAGACTTCGATTAAATTAAGATTAAATTAGTGAATAAAAATTGACTGAGATTGACATCTGAGACCTGTAAATATTGAGTTCATTGTTAATTTAGAGAGCCCAGAAACATTTGAGCATAAAGGCATGACCGAAATTAAAAAAAAACTATTATAATAATAAATAATGCATTTTATTTTAAGACAAATACATGAAACATCTTGTAATTGTTGATTTAGGTCCAGAAAAAAAATTGCACCGGATATACAGAAGTGCATGTGCAGTCTTATTGAATTGTTTAGTTTAGAATGTTTGTGACCACCCCGAGGCGACGTGGGATCAAGATACGTTTTGCACATTGTGATTTCGCACGTTTGTTTTTGTCATTATACTTGAAGGATTTGAACTGTAATATTTTTAGTTTTTAAAGAGTGCTACTCTAGCTTTATAGAACTGACTAGCGACTCACCCTCGCTCCGCTCGGGTTCGTTCCTATTGTACGTTTAAACGGTTAGTATAGATTTCTCAGAAATGAGATATTTTTAAGCAGTAAAAAGTATCCTATATGTTACCCCGGATAACCAGCTACCATCGTACTAAATTTCATCAAAACCTGTCCAGTGGTTTTCTCGCGATGCGTTCCCAGATAGATAGACAAAAAAAATTCTAAACATTAGGTATATTTTCGGCCTCTCTATCGATAATAATGACTATTTCAATAATATTTTCCAAAAAATATTTAATGTGCAGATTCGACTTAGAATTTTATTATAATAATGTATAGATGTAAAGTTTAGTTTAGTAAACTCTGTCTGTATGTTACGCTTGGTATCAGGGTACGCTATGTTCTATCTTAACATATTTCTATTAAGAGCATCAATTTCATCCTGGGGACAGAGGGACTCGTACGAGTAAGTGTACATTAACATAACTAAAGTTTTTAAAAGGTCAAAAAGTTCTATACAAAACAGGACCAATTTTATTGGATCTATGTACATAAAACTACAATTAATGGGTACGAACGATATATGAGATGAACGACCAGAGAAAAATACAGACTTCAAACTTATTTCAATCACTGAAGGACAAAATATTATAATAATTTTATTGTAACTAAAATAATACTTAAACATTCTGACTCCTGACATACAGGTTTATTCTAGTTTGGGAGTCAGAGGCTTCAACAGGCTTATGTAAGAACAAAGAATTGTGTCAATAAAGATATATTATTCTATTCTATATTCTAATAAATAATTAGGTATTTCTTTAATACTTTCTTAGATTTACGCAAATATTTGACATTTTAATTAAAACTATCTTTTCGGATTTATTTGCGAATTTTAATTTTTGGTTCCCAAAAGAAAAGATAGATGGTTGGTTGGGAACCAAAAATCAAAATAAATTCGTGAAAAAATCCGTAAAAATAGTTTTATTTAAAATAGTTATTTATTTATTACTATTTTTAATTTACACACGTATTTTTTTTATTGAACGATAGGCTTGCGCTTGACTACAATCAGCGCTGGGAAGCACTGATGAGGTCTAGGTTGGAGCGCGCTTGCCTAGAAAAATGCCTATTCACTCTTGCCTTGAAAGTTCTTGGATTGTAAGTGGCAGGAAACACGGACGCTGGAAGCGTGTTCCACTCCTTAGCAGTTCGAAAAAACTACGTATGTATCATTAAGAGTTAAGACTACGAGTCGTCTATAAAATAAACAAAAATACATTAAAATTAGTTCACAATTAGCGATCATATCTTATAAAATACACAAAACATATTATGTGCCATAATTAAGTACCATTTAAAAAAAAAGTAAATGATAACTATACTCCATAACATGCAATTAGTCACGACAGGCGTAGAAGCCATTAAGTATACTTATCATCCCTTACTCACCCTCGTTAAAACATCAATCCAGTTAACATATTAACAAGTGATTTTAACAACAGCTTCCAAACCAGCGGGGAATCCCATTGTTGCGTGGAACCCTAACAAATTATCCTAATACACTATCATTTTTGGCTTAGCATTATATAGTTTGATTACTTTGATGATATGGTTCGATATCTTATATGGAATTATCTATCTATACTAATATTATAAGGAGGTAAAGTTTGTGAGTGTGTGATTTTGTAGGTTTGTGACGTTCTAGGGGGGTAATCTCTGGATCTACTGAACTGATTCAGATGAAATTTGGTAAGAAGATAGTTTGAGACCCTGGGAAGGACATAGGATAGACAGATAGGAAAGGAAAATGAGGGTGAAAGTTTGTATGGGGAATCAAGCTAGTATAATTTAATTTTGTAGTACATTTAAATTTATTTAAATAATCGGATTACTTTGTATCGTTTTATGTGTGGGTGTATGTTTGTTTTGCCTTTGAGTAACAGATAGTCTACAGTTTACTGTTTGGGCACTTAGGAACGAACCCGAGGAAAGCTAAGTCGCTCACTACATTAATTTAACAAATCAAGACACGCGGTAGCGTGTCCAGCCAAGTTCAAGCCAAAGGAACTGGCGACGCAGCACCGTGTGTATTAATATATTTAGAACACTTTTTCTTATATTGCAAATGCGAAGCTGTATTTGCTTATTTTTTAGTATGCCCTTTGACACAGTATCGGGTTGAAGCATTGTTTATCATTTTACCTCATTATATTAAATGAAAACATATCAATCAACATAACTAATTTAAATACTTAGCGAATGAGTATTAACACTTTATTGTTAAAAGCTTAAAACGGTTTAAAATTAAAATATTATTTATTTGCAATTTAATTGCAATAAAAATTTCCAGCAGTACCTTTTTAGTACCTATCTATAAAACGCTTAAAATAAATGTTTAACTTTATGTTCATTCATAAACATTATACAACCATTAAACTTCATATAACATTGCCCATATAAAGGTAAGTAAGTAAGTAAGATGAGTAGTAAATACAAAGTAGTAATGTGATCAAACAAACAACAGATCATTACATCCCTCAAATCT